ACTAATAGTATTCTTTCTCCCGCCGGTGGTCGAAATGGCCAACCACGGCAAGAGAACTTGCCGCCTCAAACGGCAAGCCAACCAACTCCACGTCGAGTAGGCGGTGTTGAGATTCCTGCTACCGCTCGAGTGGGGGAATCATCACAAGCACGCGTGGGAGTTGAAGTGGTACTCCCGTGTGGTGAGAACCTCGCCACCATGTTCAACACTCGAGTTGAGCAGCCACTCGTGCAAGTGGGTGCTCGTCCATCTATCCCGGAGGCAAGACCCTACATGGCTCCTATGAATTTGGGAGTAGGAGGAGGCCTAGGTGGTAACATGGATCAAATTCCACCTCGAGGCTACCCAACTCCAACGCCACCCCATTTCAATGGGCATGGCATGGACCCTATTGGGTTTGTACCGTATGGCGGGCAGCAAAGGGGGCATGAAAGTCTAACTTCCCATAAGTTGACGCCGAGATGTCCATCTAGGGGGCATGTGGTGTCTAAGAGGTCACATCAATCACAAGCAACACATGCTTGTGCTAAACATATTAATTTGGCTAAGTCGGGAAAGGGGGGCATGCCTCCAACCACTTGCAGTAGACATGGGGGCATACTAACAAGTCACGACGTGAGAAAGCCATAAAAAGTTATTGTAGATTTGAAAATTTGGCTAAGTATGGACAAGACATGTCCAAGAAGCCATATGAAGTGCAAGTCACACATGTTTGTCATAAGCATGCTAATTTGACTAAGTCTGGACAAGGGAGCATTTCACCCACCATGAAGAATGGAGTAGAGAGCATCTCCAAGAAGACACAAAAAGTCAAACCCCCACATGGATTTTGTAAGCTTGAGATTATGGATAAGGGTGGATTGGGGGGCAAGTCCATGTCAATGAATAGTAAGTACTCGACACCAACCACAAAGAGTGGACATGGGGGCATGTATAAGAAGTCACCATACACACCAGCCAAACATGGTTGCACCAAGAATCAATGGTGGTTGAGTGCTAAGTGTAGGGGCCAACAAGGTTTAGATGTTGAAAGACGAAGACAAAGAAGCTACACGAGTGGTTGTCGACTTGTCAAGTCTAGACTTGGTCCCCAACATTGTGAGGAGATTAAGCATGTATCAAGTGGGAGGAAATCAAGGTAGAAGAGTAATCATGATAGCCTTGACATGGCAAGTAAGGTGGCCCAAGCAAAGATGCATGAGACCTCATGCAAGGCCACCAAGACTGGACAGGCTGACCATGTACCACTCATTAGTAAGCTAGAAAATTCAAAGTTAATGTATGAAGATTCATCTCCCATGGAGGAAAAGAGTCATGTGGTCTATGGATGACATGTTTGGTTTGATCCAAGGACTTGGCAGTGGGTGTACACTTTTGGCGCATTAGTTGTTGCTAAAGGTTACGAAGAGCGCTAACTCTGTCACTCCTTGCCATATTAAATAAATAAATAAGTATATATACTATTAATAATAATAAAAAAACTAGTAGCCAACAATGGCTAAAAAAAATATCAAAGTGAAAAATTGAGTAGGAGTTGTTAGACTTCGATGTGAAATTTATTTATTTATTTTTTTTGCCACCAGGTCATTATGATGGTTTGGCATCACAAGCCATACATCAGGCCATGTCATGCCATCTTATCTTGTCCCGAGTAGTCACGGCCTGGGGGGCATGATGGCTTGAAACGTGGTAGTAGAGGAGTGGTGACCATAATGTCTCTACCAACTTATAAATGAACATTATTTTTTCTAAGGCAAAAAGTAGACGACTTGATTTGTCGCGAGGGAGCTGTCTAGCCTTGTGACGAGGTGAGATGAGTCAATCTATGCCAAAATAGGTGCGAAAAATTCCAAGTTATACTCTCAACCATTTGGCTAAGTACGAGATGTCAATGAGGGTGTAGGTGATAAAGTGAAGTTGGTGTCTCGCTGAATGCATTAGGTGGCTTGACCATTAAAAGCCAAAATTTGGCTAAGGCATAGGACAAGTCGTTGACGTCGAGTTCCATCCGGCCATGTTGACATGATCATTGAAAGCCAAAATTTGGTTAAGGCATAGAACAAGTTTTGACGTCAAGTTCCATCTCGCCATGTTGGCTTGACGTGAAAAAACCAAAATTTGGCTATGGCATGAGATAAACCTTGACGGCGAGTTCCATCCGGCCATGTTGGCTTGATAATTAAAAGCCAAAAATTTGGTTAAGGCATGGAACAAGTTTTGACGTCAAGTTCCATCCGGCCTTGTTGGCTTGATAATTAAAAGCCAAATTTTGGCTAAGGACGAACTAGGTGTGTTGAGTAGACACTAGCCAGCTTGTTACTTTCGCTAGCATGGTGGTGTTCAACTACTTAGTCCATAATTCTTATGCACTAAGTAGTTGGGGGGCATTTGTTTACACCTAAAATAATAATCTTGTACCACATTGATTATTTACAAGGCATTTACTATGTTTATAAGGCCAGATCAACAATAACAATTAATGTTATTTAAACTGGGCCTACGATACTAGATTTTTAAACCCAAACGATCAGGCCTGACATGACGCGTGAGAATAAACTAAGTCTAAGCGCCAAGCCTCCTGCATAAAGTTTGGTAGACCGCCTTGTTGCGACAAACCTCCTTGTTTAAACGCATCGCGAGTCTACAAGATACGTGGGAAGAAGGTCACAAAATAAACAAGGTCTAAGCGCCAAGCCTCCTCGCGTCAGGCCACTTCGCGAGTCCGCCAAGCCTCTACTAGGTCTAAGCGCCAAGCCTCCTCGTGTAAAGTTTGGTAGACCGCCTCGTCGCGACAAGCCTCCTCGCGCCAAGTTTGGTAAACCACTTCGTAGCATTGTCATCGTGTTTGACAAACCGCCTCGTCGCGAGATCTGGAATAGCCATGGTAAAGGAAAGGGCAAGTAACAAGACAACAGTTTCAAAAAGTAGAGCCGGCGGTTTGATTGAGAAACTGTCAATTACTCCACATTCAAGGACACGTCAGCCACGTCCGGGAAAGAAGGGAAGTGGTTTCTTTTTGGAAGTTACTCTCCAGACAGTTTTCTACTATGGTTATCACCTCAAGCCTATAAATAGGAGGAAGATTTGTCAGAGAAAGGCTCGCAAAAATGACCACTCGACACCACTTGTCAAGTTTTATTAATCTTATCTTTCTTCTGCAAATTTTTATCAGTAGTCGTAGATTTGGAGCTCTCTCAGAACCTCCATAGGAGTAGGATTAACTTAATGTAGATTTTTCTCGAGAGTCGTGTAAACATCGAACACCCTCGTTCGAACTGTGTTTGAAGAGCTGTGAACCGTGTTTAGTGATCGTTGTCCAAAGAAATCAAAGATACAATCAATTTATTTCAACGCAAGTTTTCTCGCCGGAGAACAGTTCTTTGTATGTGTTGCCAATTACTGCTGACCGGGGAGAGGAACGGCGGCTGGTTTTCGGTTTCTGAACTTTGTTTTTCAGCACCGCTTTCTTTTCCATCGCACGACCGCCAAAAGGCCGTGGCTCGACCTTTTATTTTGGGCCTCTTCGACCCACACTTTTGGGCAATGAACTATGTCCACGCGCAACTAACAAACGTCAAAAAAATTGTAAAAAAAAACCAACGTCAAAAATCAAATAGAAATATAAAAAAAATAATATATTTATATGGTCTGAACTTTGACCAAAATAAACATTCTGACCAATCTTTTCGATCTATAACATCCTGGCTCGAACTATACACCAAAATAAACAATTTGACCAGATCCGAATTTTGACCGTTAACTTGGACGGTCAAACGCGTTGACCATTAGTCAACGCGCCATGTCACTGCAAAGTCAGCATCTATCTATCTACAAAATATATAAAGACTTTTCCAATAACCACCTTCACCGTTTCAAAAATCCAGCTCTCCTACGCATCCACATCAGCACCCTTTCCACCAATCAAATTTTTTCTTAACTTCCCTTTCCATCAATCAGATGTTTTTGTAACTTCTTTTTTTTTTTCTTTTCATTATAATTTTTCTTTGTAGTTATTCTGTACTCCAATTAGATTGTGCGACTTAACACACACTCTCTCTCTTTTTTTTCAATCACCATATTATTCTTATTCGATCCATATTTTTTCCGCTTCAACTCCGAATTTAAATATTGTTGCGCAAAAAAATCAGATTTTATGTGATCTACTCAATGATACCCATTTTTTATATAAGTTGAATTTTTTTTCTTTCAAAAACATTATCACAATCATATATTCACAAGTCACTCTCATATTTGATAGTTGCTAAACTATATCAATATCATTCGATTCCACCGTCATAAAGTATATACTACCATAGATCACAAAACAAATTTCTTATTCTAATGAGTTACTAAATTATATCAATGTTTAATTTTGTACTATCATAATAATAATGCACAACATGGGTGTTAAAATATTGTCGTGTGGTACAAACTAAATTACCTTAAAGAAAAATCACTTCCGGCCAACTGATCAAGTTCAAAGGTACACATGATTCGGGATGAGACACGACAATGATAGCCTGAACAAAATAGACAATGTAGGAGAAAAAATATTCCATAAAACATATTTCAAACAAAATTTACTCGGCCAACGGACCGGGTACAAAGCTAGTAAAATATTTAAAATAATTCACAATTTCCACACATTCCATAATTTTAAATTATTATAAATTAAAAAAAATCATCTAATACCTTAGTTAAACCAAAAATTAAAAAAATTAAAATATTTATCAGATATTCTAACTTGGCAGTGACGTGGCGCGTTGACCGTTAGTCAATGCGTTTGACCGTCCAAGTTAACCGTTAAACATCGGGTTTAGCCAAATTATTTATTTTGGTGTATAGTTCAGGTCAGGATGTTATAGATCGAAAAAATTGATCAAAATATTTATTTTGCTCAAGGTTCAGGCCATATGAAAATATTAACCTAAAAAAAACATCGTAGAAAAACTAGTATTTTGAGTTCCCTGTATCGAACAAAACCACCGCCGTCCGCAGTGCGATAATCGGAATGGCAGTGGGGAACCGTCGCGGGATGTCGACTCTACCGTCGGAGTTTCCACACGTCTCTCGGAGCAAGAGTCCTATGTTCTCTATTCGACTCCCGGTGGAATTTCTACGGCAGGCCACGGTGGAGGACGAGAAACTGTTTCAACAGTGCTGCTGGTGCTCGTCCCGGCGGGCAGGAACTCTTCGCGTGGACGGAATGGTGATATTAGCTTTCTGGAAGAAACCCGAATCTAACGTTGGTGATTGTTATATTTGGATGCGGTGGCGTAAAACTATGCTGACTTCAGCGGAGATGAAGGGCTTGGGCCGTGTTTTCGTCTTCATTTGGCAGGTAACTGAAATTTTTGGAAAACAGTTCTTTCATGAGTTCATCCATTGTATGACGAATAATCCCATCACTATCTAGACTTAACTCCAATCATCGGGCACCACTTAGAGCCCTTGACCTTTTCTTTCTGCATTTTAATACTCTTCAACTTCTGATTGAGTTGAATAAATGGCACTTGTTAATCCATTCCTCAAATCCCAGCAACCCAGCTCTCCAAGACATGATATTATTGATGGCTTGAACTTCTGATCGAGTTCAATCAATGGCAATTGTTAATTCATAATTGTATAAAACCCAACAACCCAGTTAGGCTACGCATTGTATATTGCGACCCTTCACCAGCTGCTCATCCACATTTAGTCTTTTGTCAAATTAATGGTAATCAAAGACATCTTAAACATAGCTGCTTCATCCAAATTCTATCTTCTTTGTATCTTTCGATCCTGATCTTGATATACGGAATTTGTTATGTTGCAACCAGTTTCAGGTGAGACCCTTCTCTTGATTCCTACCATTTGAGCTAGGTTACTTTCTTCCTGCAATAATATGGTCCATGAATGTGAAATTAGTTAAGAAGTCTGCATGTGCCTTATCTTCTCAAGTCTTTTACTTGTGTTTTGATCATTAGGGAAGCATGATTTAGTTTGAATGTGAGTATACCGTTCCGATGAATCCGTACTTCATAGTATTTTTCTCTAGGAATCCTATTAGTTTTTATGCTGACGCGTTAAAAACTTTGCTCTTGCATGTGAAATATTATTTGTTCCATGCCATCAGCATCAATGGTTGCTGGAAGTTCACTAGGAGCGTCATCAACATCACCAAAATCACGTCAACCTTACCATGTGTTTCTCAGCTTTAGAGGGTCCGACACTCGTAAAAACTTTACTGATCACCTTTACCAAGCTTTGACATGGGCGGGGATCCGCACATACAGGGACGACGATGAGATTGAGAGAGGAGATGATATTGTGCTGGCGATTAATAAGGCAATAACAGAGTCCCGATTGTCATTGATTGTGTTTTCACCAAACTTTGCCTCTTCTAGTTATTGTCTTGATGAGGTTGTGAAGATTATGGAATGTAAAGAAAACAACGTGCACACGGTTGTTCCTATCTTCTATAATGTGTCACCATCGCAAGTCTCGGAAGAGTCAGGGACTTATGTTAAAGCATTAAGAAGACATGGAAATGTTGAGAGAGTGGACAAATGGTGGAAAACCCTTAAAAAGATAACAGATCTTGGAGGCATGGTTTTGGGAGACAGGTATTTTTCTGAATTGATTAAGAAAAACAAAGTTATTTCCTTAAGTCATGTTTCAGATGGTCATCCTATATTTTGTCTTCCATATTTTGTTCTTGTTTCAGGCATGAGGCTGGTTTTATTCAAGAAATTGTCAAAAAAGTCGATCGCAGATTGAAACGCATAAAGCGGCCTGTTCCGTCCTACGTAATTGGGATAGAATCTCATATTGAAGCCATTAACAAGTGGGTAGCATATGAGTCTAGTGATGTGGATGTTGCGATCATCTCTGGGGTTGGTGGAGTTGGGAAGACTATAATCGCTAACATTGTCTTTAATATGAACATTGAAACTTTTGATGTCTGGAGTTTTCTTCAGGATGTTGATGAAACCTCAAAACACCAGGATGGGTTGGTTAATTTACAGAGGAGCCTGGTGTATGATATCTCCAAAGGAGCCCTCGTGGACTACAAAGGCATTGACCTTGAGCATGTTACATGCAACAAAAGAGCCCTTGTTGTGCTTGACAATGTTGATACCTGGGGTCAACTCTTTGCTATTCTAAGCAAGCCTCAATACCTCCACAAGGGGAGTAAAATAATCATTACAACCAGATGTAAAGAGTTGCTCAAGAAACCTTATGGAGGAGCTTGTAAGACGTTTTGGATCAATGGACTGGGTAAGGATCATGCACTCGAACTATTTAGTTGGCATGCCTTTGATAAACCCAATCCTGACGAGGGGTATGTAGGTTACTCTGAGCAAGTAGTGCAACACTGTTCTGGGCTTCCTCTGGCACTTGAAGTGTTGGGCCTTTGTTTATCAGATAAGGATATGCAGTTGTGGGAAGTAGCAGCACAAGAACCAGAAACAATTGATGGTTCCACAAGGATAAGGAGGACGCTTCAAATAAGCTATGACTCTCTAGATGAGCGTGACAAAATCTTATTCCTAGACATTGCTTGCTTCTACATTGGAAGGGAAAAGGATTCTGTTGTGAAAATGCTACAAAGTAAATTTGGTTATAGACCACTTGGCATTCAGGAGCTTATCAGTAGAAGCCTTATATCAATTGGCGAGTCTAACAGATTGACAATGCACCAATTGATTAGAGACATGGGGAGAGAAATCGTCCTCCTTAGATCGATTCAATCTATTGAAGATCCTGGAGAACAAAGTAGACTGTGGCGCTATAATGACGCGATCAGGGTATTGAAGAGAGATACTGTGAGAAATATCTCCTCCATTGCTTTTTCAGATTCATTTGGTAGTCAGTAGTCTCATTACTATTACCATGTTTTCGTCTTACCAATTGATTGCTGTTGAGAGCAGGGAGAAATAGTGAGGAGCCTTATCCTTGACCCGCCACTAGCATATGAAGTGGAAGTGGAAGCCTTCGCAAAAATGAGAAAGCTGAAGCTGCTTCATTTAAACAATGTAAATCTTCATGGAAACTATAAGGGTTTCCCACAGAGTTTGGTCTGGTTGTGCTGGGAAGGATTCCTTCTTCAGTCTATACCTGGTGAAGTTTCCCTGGAGGATTTGGTTGTTCTTGAGATGAGAAACAGCAAGATCAGAAATGTCCACGACAGTGCATGGGTATGATTGTTGTATTCTCCCTTCCTCTCTGGTCCACTAAAAATGAATCATGACTTAATAGTTACTAAAATATCTATCTTCTAATATTTTTTCAGATTCTACCCAACTTAAAAGTGCTTGATCTCAGTCACTCATGCAATCTTATTGCAACTCCAGACCTTTCCCGTTTCCCAAAGCTTGAACGGTTGATACTAAGATGTTGCACAAATTTGGTTGAGATACACAGTTCCATTGGAGGTTTGGAGCGGTTATCCTTTCTAGATGTGAGCTATTGCACCAGTCTTAGTAAGCTTCCACTGGGAAATGGTGATTTGATGTCCCTAAAGGAACTTCAAATGTCAGGTTGCCCAGGACTGGCTGAACGGTACTCTCTAGATTCTGACAAAATGGAATTACCTGTGCGAAAAAGAATGAGGAGAACCTCTAGTTTGGTTTCTGGTTTGCCACATTTCTTGGTATCCATAAGTCTCTGCAGGTGCAATATGCATGCTTTCCCTGAAGATCTAAGTTCCTTGTCTTCACTCAAGTTCTTACACCTAAATGAGAACCCGCTTACTTGTCTTCCAGAGACAATCAAAAGCCTGAAAATGTTGTTAGCCCTTTCGCTTTTCCGGTGTGACAAGCTCGAATCACTTCCTGAGCTGCCTTCAAGTGTACAGTCAGTGATGCTCTTTGGGTGTTCCTCCCTGAAAAGGATAACGAATCTGCCACATTTATACTCAGAGACTGGCATCCAAGTATTCATTATTGCTATGTCTTGTGGTCAATTACTCGAAGTCAGAGGCATTTTCAAAGTGGAACCACTTCGAGACACCGAGTTTTATATTATGAGGGCTGGTTTACTTGGGATTTCACTACGTCTCGCTGTGGAGCCATCTCCTAGCAGTGAAACGATACTGTACAATCGTTTCACGTGGGTGAAGACGTCGTTACAGCAGCCACAGGTCATATTTCCTCATCCCACCTCTCAATTATTCGTGTGTGTGTGTGTTTTTTTTTTAGTTTTTGTTTTGATGCATTACTGGCGGTTGATCTCAGATACTGTACGAATTCGGGATGTGGAGCATTTTCTTTCCAGCACAGTGTTGGGCACTTCCAAGTGCAGCGAGGGCTGAGTTCATCTCAGTTGATGTTCCACCGAAAGATGGCCACAACTTATTGGGCTTGAATCTTATCATTGCATACAGAAATGTATCACTTGTACCCTCAGGACTATCAATTACTTTGGAGATCAGTAATGAGACCAAGTCTCTGAAGTGGACTTACAAACCCATCGTTCTAGGAATCTGCGATGGACCCAACAATATCATGCTATGGCTAAGCCGTTGGACATTTAGGAATCAGGTTGAGACGGGAGATCGACTGAAGATCGGAGTCCGTGGAGACAGGGGTGTGGAGATACTGACCTCTGGTGTCGTGTTGGACTTGAAGAATGAACTAGTGGTTGAGGGAAGAGCCTCTTGTGCAGTCAGAGCTCTCTGTGATGTGGATATATCAGCCTATGAAGTTGCGCGAGGTACATATGAGCTGGACAATTCTCTGGACCGACAGCTACAGCTCCTCATCATGCAGGCTCACAATAACCCACACCGACCTGACCGGTCCGATCGGTTGGACCGCAGTCAACGCGAAGTTTTTGCTGATGTTAATGCTTGGATTGGGCAAGTGTCATTTATGCTGAAGGCCGTCGAGGACGAGGCCTCGAATGACGGATCAACTAGTACAACACTATAGTGAATCCTACCTCTGCAAGGATTTGGAGTTTTGGGAAGGCTTTGGTCTTCCTCTCTACCGTTTTGCTGATACTTGGTTTACTTGTGTTGTCGTTTGGGGATACTGCTACTTACACAGGCCAGTTGCCCACATGACGTTTGGCTCAATTTACTTATTCCAAAGAGAAAGAAAATGATTGATGATGATGCCAGGTCTGGGTACTGATGCAGAAGGGGATCAAAAGACGGTTGTTAAGTTTGATTTGATGTGTGAATGCATGAATATGCTTATGGCGATGGATGTGATCATTTTTTTGCATGTTAAGCTCTTGGACTTGTGTAAGTGGGACGGCGCAAGGGAGAGGGAAATAAGCTTCGCTTGGGCGCAAAGCATTATCATAATACTTTCATAATGAAAGGAATTACTTTCATATAACAGTTACATAATTCCATATATGTGTGTGTTGAGGATTGATTGGCGCAATGTATTTTGTTGTCCAAATGTGATGTTTTTAGCTGTTTGCAGCCTATTTGTTGATCGAGTCCTACAAGGTATCAATAAGTTAGGAATGGCTGTCTGTTCGGGCTGTGAATATATATATACTACTGACGTGGTCGTATTTGTTTAAGCTTTTTATTGAGGACTTAGATGAAAGGCCCAAACAGAAGATTGGGAAACAACTTAAGAGTGTGCACCCAAATGGTACTATATAGAGCTACCTTTTTTGTTTTTTTCCTCACTTGTCCTTCTTCCGTGGAGAATCAATGGGCTCTGTTCAAAACAAGTATGTTTTAAGACAGTCTCTCAACTCTATCTCTTGATCATACTTTTCGTTTAGCGTCGTAGAATTGTATCTATAATATGCCGATGACAATCTGTAACGCACAATCTTTCCTTCTGCGGGTTAGAGATTTATGTGGTTAACCAACAAATCATTTAGTCTAGGTCAGAATATTTGAGGCAAGAATGGTATCAGACTATCAGAGTATTTGACAATTGAGATGTTTTGTGTTTAATACCGACAAGCCTTTTTTATTATAAAAAGATGGTTTTGCTTCTACTATTCATTAAATGGTAATATTATAATTAGTGCAAACTTTAGGGTATGTGTATTAAGAACTATGAGAAAGACGGATACCACTTTATGAGTCATTTCGAGACATTTTTTGAATTTTATCTCGGGTAAATGCCACATTTGGTCACCGAGATTACTAAATCCTATTATGTTTAGTTACTAGAATTACTAAAATATGTCAAGTTTAGTCACTCTCCCATTATACCGGAGTTGGACGGAAGCTAACGGGAGAGTGACTAAATGTGACATGTTTTGGTAATTCGAGTGACACGTTTAGTCCTAATATACATTATTTTTTACTAGGAAATCTATATATGTGTTAATATTCATTAAGCGTATTATTTTGTTGTTATGTCAAAATTGATCTTTTGTTTGTATTTGGTTTTATTCATATCTCATAATATGTGTTATTATTTATTAAGCTATCTTCTCATATGTGTTATTATATACTAGGCAATCTTCATAAGTGTTAATATTCATTAGGCATATTTTGTTGTTGTTATGTCGAAATCGATATTTTTGTTCATATTTGGTTTTATTCATGTATCATAATATGTGTTATTATTTACTAAGCTATCTTCTAATAGTAATATGTGTTATTATTTACTAGGCAGTCTCCATATGTGTTAATATTTATTAGGCATATTTTATTGTTGTTATGTCGAAATTGATCTTTTTGTTAGTATTTGGTTTTATTCATATCTCATTATATATGTTATTGATTAGCAAGCTATTTTCTGATATGTGTTATTGTTCATTAAGCGTATTTTGTTATTGTGCTGAAATCAATCTCTTTGTTCGTATTTGGTTTTGCATACTTAATCACCTCTACTTAGTCGAGATCAAATAGAAAAACCACAAAGAAATCTTCTAATGTGAGTTACTAACTTACTATTCACTAAGTATAATTTTTTTGTTTTTGTCCTGAAATCGACCTCTTTGTCGGCATTTGAATTTGCATTCTTGCTCATCTCACTCACTCGAGTTCAAATCGACCACTTTCTCAATCATTTATTTGCTTTTGTGTATATTTTATTATTTTATTATTTTTTCCTAATTTCCTATCTCTATTATTACTACCTCGGTTTCCTTTATGAAAATTTCATTTCTCATAATATGTGATTTTTTTTTGTTATGTGGTACTCAAATCGATCTATTTGTTCGGATTTGACTTTACATCTTTAGTCATACCATTCGAGCTCAAGCTCAAATAGGAAAATTACAGAGAAATCTATAGGTGTAGAGTTCCATCTCAAACGCAGAAACTTCGTAAATACTCTTACTAATAATTGTCGAGCTCCAAATATGTAGACCGACATTCTCGAATTCATAACTTCATTGGCCAGCAACTGCATATTACTACGACCACAATGTCTTAGTGATTTTCCTTATGTCGTACGAATTACATTTTAGTAATTCTTTTATAATGACACATTTACCGTACTATGTGCAACTCACCGTGAAGCAGTGGCGGATCCAGGGCTGGGCCAACCCAGGCCCCGGCCCAGCCCTCCTCCGGATCCAAAATTAGTTTAGTGCTTATAAAATTTTTCGATTTAGATATTTGACCCAGTGCTATTTAAAATCCTGTCTAGTTTTATTAGATAATATGATTTTGTGTAACTAGGAAAATGGTTCAGATGAACATATCCAAACCATTACTCTAAATTTATACTAAATTTTCTATAGCCCCAATGATTTTATTTGAAAAAAGACATGAAAACCTAAAAGTGTAAAGTTTCATTAAAATAAAATAAAAACTCTAAACTAAAGCACACCCTTCCTTGCAAAATTCCAAAATTTTCCCAATCCCCCAAAACAAAACAAGAACGAGGAGACGAGCAGATCCAAAATGGATAGCTCCGCCAGCCCGTCGAGCTGGTTTTCTTTCCATTCTTTTGATTAAGAAAATATTTACAAACTTGTTGAGTTATCATTTAGATCGCCTCAATTGAATGGGGCACTAGATTCTAACCGTTCTTTCTGGTGTTTTAAGGAAGAAAATATTTACAAACTTGCTCAAGAGTTTAGCCTCGAGACTTTGAATGCTATGAGATGCATTCTTTGGAGAATGCACTAGTCATGTGAGGAAACATGGATGGACACACAATCCAAATTGATTTGTTGGTTGATTTGTCTAGTGTTGACCTAGCCTTTTCAACAACTACCATGGAGAGAATATTTTCACCAATGGAACACGAACATTGATTTGTGCAACAAAATGAGCGATGAATTTCTCGTTGATTACTTAGCTATTTTCTTTGAAGAAGAGTATATTATCAGTATGGATGGAGATTATATTATTGATGAATTTGCTAAATTAAAAGACCATCTTATATAATTGGCATTGTAATGAAAACTATATTATTATATATTTTTGTTTAAGGTATCTAATATTCTATTAAATGTGGCCCAGTACTCTCTTATGTCCTGGATCCGCCGCTGCCGTGAAGCACAAGTGAGTGGTCATATATAGTATTTGTTAAACACATAATATTCAGACATGAATACAAACATCAAGCCCATATGAGCTTTCGTATGAAGTAGCGTGTTAGTAAATGATATAAAATTCATATTGAACCTATTATGCCAAGTCAAGTTATTGGAACCGATTAATTGTTTGTGAGGTTGTTTTCATTGAATTAATCTTTTCAGAGGTCCAAATCTCTACAAGGTCTAAGCTAAACCATTTAGCTCCATCATCTTATGGCGGCCGGTATAACAAACCAAATCAACATAAGAACTCATGATTATGTTGGAGGCAAGCCTTATCAGTTATCATGAGAGACGTGCGCTAACTTGCTCTCTAATTAAGCGGGAATATATACATATGGGAATCATGATTAACAACCACATATCATAAGGCATCTCAATTAGCACAGCTTTGTTACTCGGTTTGGCCTTTTTTAGCTTTTGCAGAAGCAACTTCTGGTTTGAGCTTTTGTAGAAGTACTAAAAAAAAGCAATTGAGTATTTGGTTGACAATTTATTAAAAGTGCTTTTAATATGAGAGGTTGTGTAAAATGACTATAAAAGACTTATAATATAAACTATGAATAATAATTCTAAAAAATAAAATGTAGTCAAAATGGATCTTGTTAGACTTCTTTTATATTACATAAAAATTAAATGATATAAATGAAATAAAATTATATTTTCTGAAATAAAATTAAATATGATAAGGATAATCTTGTATTTTCTAAACAATTTTTCGCAGAAGTTTCAAATCGGAGCTTCTGCTTTTATGTTCTACAAAAGCACTTTCGACTTTTCAAAAGCCGAACTTTTAAAAGTGTTTGGCCCTGTTTCAACTTTTGAAGCCGAAAAATACTTCTAAAAATCGGGCCAAACATAGGGTATATCATATTCTCTTAAGTGCTTAAGTGATCATATCATCAAGTTTGGTAGCGTCCCACGAATGTTGCTCACCATAGCATAATTCAAGCTTGGTTGCGGATGAACTAAGACTGAGCGTATATGCTTTTATTAAAAGATCATCATAATGTTAACAAAATAAATTCTATTGGTTGAGTATAGGTTAATTAGACCTTGATTTTCTGTGTGCATACTGTATACTCGAGTCTACAATTATATTTTAATCATTGATTTTGAAATTTTAATCATCGTTATTGTTTAATATAATGATAGAGTTTTTAATTATAGCTACTCTTTAAATTATTACTCATAACATTATTCTTGTAATGATCATTAAATGCAATTTTACTAAGCAAGTTTCAAAAATACTTTAAGTGAAAGCAAATCGTAACCGCATTCACATTGGAATTGCATTTTAAATTGTATCATAACATGACATTCAGTTGAAACTGTATTATGCAATTGCATTGATGTAGATGACAACTACATCTTTGCAAACTTGCATATAATGCAATTGTGGATTGCAAGGAACACCATATTTTTATTATTGAAATATTTTTTATTTTTGTTTTTAAGTATTTATAATTATATTAGAAAACCAATTGCAATTACAAGTTAATTACATTGATATGGGTGCAATGAAAATAATATGATTTGAAAAATAATTGATTTAACAATAAGAAGTACAAATACAATTACAAATTTGATGTGGATGTTCTAAATGATTTTTTCATGAATTCACACATTTTCCGGAGTGCCCCTTCTCGAGAAGCTACATTGGCTTTTGGACGTCATGGAACGAATCGGATGCTCAATTTTTCGTTGCCTCCAGTAGAATCAACTCTACCATCTCTCCACATGGTTGGACACTCACTCACAAGTCACAAACCCGCTCGTTATCGTTTCGCTATCCAAATAACCTCACTCCCATGACTTGATGTTACTAGCATAAACCCGCTCGTTATCATTTCGCGTCTGAG